ACACGTGTGAAACCCACGACTCATTAAAAATAATATATTTTTAAACACTAGAGTACCAAACCATCATCAATTTGTCTATTTAATGACCTAAGGATATAACTGTGGAACTATGAAACTCTAAATGCCACATTCAAACTAGATAAGTGGACAGTAACAAAGTTTTTAATGGTTTGGTATAAGAAATACATTGAGGTAGTGTTGAAATATAACGGCTCTGATTGCGAGCATAACAAAAGTCAATCGCACTTCTGATCTCTTACCTGTTGATCTGATGATAGCGACAGGCCTGGCCATCGGCGGCAGAGGAGGCGGGGGCAGCATTGAGTTGGTGAAATACGCAGGCTTTGGACTCCGCGACAGACCGTGCACCTGGAAGGTTTGACACAGTGATGGTAATATTAGGTAGTAAAAGTTTTTGGTCCTTCGAGCAGTAACACAAAGTAACACTTACTGACTCCATCTTGGGAAAGTTATGCCTTTTTTATAATATGTAACACAAGTAGACTACAGTACAGACTAATGCAGTAGCTCTAGTTGTATGCCAGCGCTGTTTCCAGCACTACTATCCTACTGTACTGGCATAATGTTAAATAGGCTTCATCAAGTTATAAATTTTGGTCCTTCGCGCAGTAATATTTCCTGACTCCTGCTCAATGGTAAATGGCAGTACCTGTATCTGCTGCACATCAGTGGGCGGCTCCTGACACACGAAGGTCACGAAGTCGCCCAGGGAGTCCTGCTGCGCACTCTCGTACTTGCCACTTGAATGCTGACTTGACAGCTCTGATGCTGGAATCATATAATCAGGTTTTATAACTATAAACCAGTATTCTATTAGTAATTCTGATTACTAATTTACACGACGCAATGTAACACTTCAAGTGCGGCCACTTTTCGTATGAAAGCAAACTTGCTAGGCGTGTCGTTGACGTTGAATGGGTTAACTGTAATTAAGTAGTTTTCAAACAAGGTTAATAAATCGCACCGTAAAATTAAATTGATTTTCAAATTTAATATTGATAGATTATGAATCGTTAAGCAAATAATCAAATTGTAAAGTTGCATGTTTAATGTGAAACTTAATATTAGTTGAAATACATATTGTCGTAGTTCACAATGTATCGGTGACACATACCAGTGGGATGCGTGTCTGTGGGCGGCGGGGCGTGCTGGTAGAAGATTGCGTTGGAGGGCACCAGCGGAGACTGCGTGCTCAGCGCCGCAGAACTGTGCGGGATGCCTACACAACATACATAAATAACTAAGGGTTTCAACTAAAAACTAAATTGAGACTTACAGTCAAGGCAATAGAGTTGAAATTCCAATAAATTTTGCAACACTATCAGTCCTTTCTCGTCCAGCATTGAATAAGAACATATTTTGTTTCTTTTTTATCATTTTACATGTTCTTATAAGAACTTATAGCTGTGCACGCGACTCCGTCCGCGTGGTATTGAAAAAAAAACTTATTTCGTAGCATATGTGTTCTTCCAGACTATTTTCTACATCTATGTCAAATTTGAGCAAGATCCATGCAGAAGTTCTGGAGATATCTTCAAACAAACATACAAACATTCGCATTTATAAAACAATTCAAAGTTACAACGAATTTCGGATCGATAAGAAATAAATCATTACTTAGTGTACCCTTAACAGAATAATTGTTAATTAATCATTCGATACAAGTCAATGACATATTAATGACGTATTTAACTGAATAAAACAAAAGCCGCATTAATATGCCGCGCCACTTCGACACCATAAGAGGCACGAGCTCGACAACCGCGACGGTGTCTCACTGCCCTTATTTAGATTTTGACATTTTAAAATTGTTTTTTTTATTTTGTAACCGTGTACCTTTATCGATGGACATTATCTAATCTTGATGCCTTTGAAAAACATAGTTAACGTGTTGGAAACGTCATGGAAAACGTAAGAATTCAAAATTATAAAAAAGAAAATATTTTTCGCGGAATTTTCTCTGGCACATATTTTGTAAAGCGGCATAAAACAATTGAATAACGTTTCATGTTTTATTCATAACCTTACTTATTTTCTATCTTACTAATATTATAAATGTGAATGTTTAGATGTATGTTTGTTAGAAGGTATCTCCAGAACGACTGCATGGATCTCACTGAAATTTGTTATAAATGTAGCTTAAATTCCGCGCGGACGAAGGTTCGCGTAACAACTAGTATGCAACAAACTGAGTTGCAGATGTTTAGCCTGTGTTCTATATCTGAAAACGGCTTGCTGTCCTTTTCTATCGTCATAGAAAAAAAAAGGGAAAAAAACTTACTGAAGCATTGGCCGACCAGCATAGTGGATGGGGTTGCGCGCTCCGCCGGGGGCTCGAAGGCGGGCGGTGCGGGGCTGCCGTACCCGCAGTAGTAGCCAGACTCCAACTTGATGCCCGACCCGCCGGGCGACTCCGAACCCGTCTCTTGTAGGATCGACGCTGAAATGTTTTACCCGACCCTTCTACATCTAGTACATTACGCTTTACATCACTAGAATTTGATGAACACTGACAATACAGTTGTAAATATTTTAGCATTCAAAAGAGGAAAATTAAACGTTTAATTTCTTATACCAAAATATCCATAAAAACATATCGTCATCCCTCTCATTATCTTTGAAAAAGACAGAGATGACAATACGTTTTAAACGAGGATTTTGGTCACAGAAACCCACTGTAAGTCATTGATGTTTTATTTGAGTTAGAATATCCAATAAAAGGACATTTCCCTGTCCATTTACTTACCAGCCTATCGACTTCGATTTCCCGAAATTTCCTAATTAGAAAATACTAGGGAAAGGATGACTAGTGTAAAATTAAAGCTAGCACAAATCACTTTATAAATGTTATAAGAAACATGTTAATATAATCAAACATACCTTTACTCAACTTCCATAGTTCCTTCGATGAGAAGACACCGGTTGCTAGAATAATATCGTTGCAAATAACACCGTTGTAGGGATTGTGAGTATAGCCTGCAACCCAGCACTTCACATTATACACGGGGACGTCATCTCGATAAAAAAAACTATGGAGGTGGGGTCACAACAGCTATAGTTTAATTAATATTTGCTTGTTATTTAAAACTAGCATTCAGAACCTTACTTATCACCTAACTTAATAGATTACAACCCAAATTCAGAATTGAATAATACTTTAAGGTACAAATTATAGTTCAAAACAAGCAAATATTAAAAAAATTAAATTAGTCCGTATGCAACTAACAAACACATTCAACGCGAAGACAATAAAATACTAATTTGAACGACTGAATATAAATCGTTCAGATTAGGATTAAGGACTACAAACCTTAATATTTCAAGATTAATATATTGAAAGAAAATTTGTCATAGAATCTCTCTCCAAATATGTAAAATTATATGAATTACGATGAGTAAATAATCAGGTTTCGAATAAATTTTATACGAATTTAAATCAAATATCATAAATAAATTTACCTATTCCCAAAATTCAACTAAAATGAAATTCATAAGGGACTATTTCCACTTAGCATTTGACCGCGCGAATAACATAGCGTTTTGTATAGCATACTATTCCAGTGGAAGTTGAGCATACGAGTCTATACAAAATACGGCAGTCAACGCACGTACGGCTATCCGCTAAGTGGAAATTAAATCTAAATCTACCACAATCAAACATTAATAATTTCAAAACTAAACACCAATTCATTAAAATCTACTAAAAATCACACCGACAGAATCACATAAAGCTAAGAAAGATTAAATTAGTCCAAGAAAACTAACTTAACATTGTAACAGTTAAAATGTCAAAACTCTTCTAATATTAATATTTATTATAAACATTGTAATATGTAGATAAAAGAACAATTAAGAAGAGTATTGACATTGAAGAAGATAAAAAGAGTAAAAGAGAAGGAACACCGACTACTAAAACTAAATCAAGAAACTCTTCTTTACAACAAAAGCGATGACAGGTGAGTGCAACCAATGCTGGGATTAGATAAAAATCATAGATTTTTTTCCAATGCAAATTTGAAACTAATGGTGAAAATCACAACATCTTTTTGTGCAAAATCCAATCAAAAAATTCTCGCTGCAGCGTCAGTATGGCTAAAAATGATTCGTCAAATATATTTTAGCTAAACTAGACTAAAAACTCGTTGTTATAACTAAATTAGGCCCTTAAAGTAGGAATTCGATTCAATCTTATAATAACATCGCATTTTTTATGTCTTTCTGCTTTTCTTGAGTATTCTAAGCTTTGTCACATGGCCTTGTCTTTTTACACTTGCAGAGGCATTTATAGTAAAAAAAAAGCTATGAAATTTTAGTTCTTTATTACTAGATATTTTAATTTAGTTTGTGTACAGAAAAACCATCATTCTTAGCCATACGCGTGCTACGAGAACGACACAACATCGACACGAGCACGTCACGGACACGTCACGAAACGTCAAGTGTCCGTGACGACACGTCACAACACGGATACGGGCCGGGTGACGCGGTTACCTTTACTTTTAGCGTCGTGTTCGTTCTCTTTGTCCCTAGGAGGATGGGGCGACAGAGAACCGCTTAGGATATCTGAAAACATATCAGGTTACCTATACTGTTCAGACACACTAACTAATACGTATTATTTTCATGCAGATCTTTAGGCAGTGGAAGCCCAACGTTATTAGCAACACGATCATCTAAATTAAGTTATTACATCTTAATGTATGATAAAATGTGATAGTTTTTTATTTAATAAGTTGCAGTGTAAAAATTTAGCTATACTATGTTCATAAATTTTATTTAGTCGTATAGAAAAACTAACTATTAATTAGTAATGATATTTTCGTAGTCAGATGATTACGTCATGTCTTTATTTTTCGCATAGAAAATTGTTATTAGAAGAAAAACTTAATAGTAAATTAATTACAAAAGGTGCAACCTTTAAAAATGTAACGTGATTTCTAATTTAAATAAGCAAAATATGTTAGGAGCTAATGTTAATTTAAGGCTAAGCTAATTTTTTTTTTGAACATTCTGAATTTCAATTTAGTCGAAATGATTCAATATCACGCCTTGATCACAATCACAAGAAACTAAATTTTTACTTTATTTAGCATTAGTCAACATAACTAAGATATAAGCATTATAAAACTAAATAAAAACAACTACACTTATGTGTCGATTCTGGACTAACTTTACAGAGTTTAGCTTTTATTTAGTTTACTGTGCAAACCTACGGTAGGGAAAAGAGTAGGCGATTTTAGTTCACAATTTGTTAGTTTCAGATAACATTAGCTCCCTATCAATTCAAAGCGAAGATTTCAAAATAAGTGAGTGATAGACCTGGCAAACCGTCGGTCCCATTACCATAGCTATTGATGAAGTTAGCGAGGTAGAGGTCCAGTTCGCGCACGGAAACATTGATGTGGTATGGATTGACGCAGAGGCCGGGCTGCGTACACTCGGGGTGTTTTTCCAACCGCTCGCCGTCTGTACTCTCCAATGGTATCGCTTTGAATAATATCACCATAACAAGGTCTAATCTCCACACCTGGAAATTAGATGAAATTATGTTTTTAGTTATTCAATCATGTTACAACCGAAAAATTGGTTTGAATATCAAAATAACGTTTGTACAACTAGCTGTCGCCTACGACTCCAGCCGCGCGGAATTAGAAAATAAACATAATAAGTAGCCTATGAATTCTTCCAGACTATGTTCTATATGTATGCTAAATTTCATCAAGATCTGTTTAACCGTTCTCAAGATGCCTTCAAACAAACATCCATCCATTTAAACATTCATCATCATCATCTATACGTATAGTGAGCTGATGATGATGATCAGCTCACTATACGTACCCATCGAGAAGCTCGGAACCTACCCTGAGTTAGGGGTGATTAGGCCATAGTCAACCACGCTGGCCAAGTGCGGGTTTGTTGACTTCACACATATCTTTGTATGTCTTCTCAGATATGTGCAGTTTTAAACATTCGCATTTATAATATTAGTAAGATAAGATAACAGTACTTAAGACATAAGTAAAAGATTAGAAAACTACAATTTAAATATGTATCTATCATCATCAGCTCACTATAAACCACTGAGACGCTCCGAGCCTACGCTAAGTTAGTGACTAGGCTATAGTCAACAAGGCTGGTCCACTGCGGCTTGGTTGACAAATATACTCTATGGTAGTAAAAATAAGTATATTACGTTTAATTTTCAAGTTTTCTCTTCTTTAATATCATTTACGCTTTAACCAGATTTATCAAAGACAGATGGCTTAAAAGTAAAAGAAAAAATAATTATTCACTAAACAACTTTACCTTATTATTGTTTGTAGTCTAAACTAATTTGAGACGCTCACATCATTTTCCACTTTTATACTTCTCTATTACATCGTTAACTTTGTTACGAGTATTTTTCAGAAAATTAATATACATAGAGACACTTCCTGCTGTCAGTTTTTCCTTGACAACTTTCATTTGTTTATTTTATTTCAACACGTAATGACATTGATGAATGAAGTTAAAACATTGTATTCAACACATTCAGTGCCATCTCGCCAGACAAGATAACTTACATATGAATTGTTGCAGCATTCAACGTGGGAAGTATTATGTTTATTTCACAGTTATATAATCTTACTTAATCTTTGGATGGATAGATGTTTGTTTGAAGATATCTCTGGAACGGTTGAACGGATTTTGATGAAATTTGGCATACATATAGAACAGTGATTCCCAAACTTATTTTGTCTACTGCCCAATTTGAGAATAAATATTTATGAGCGCCCCCAAATATTCTCTCATATTTAAAAACCACTATAACTTCAAATTAAATTAATTAATCATTGTGACCTGTGATGTGTGTGACATTTTGTATATTAACGGAGAATTCTAAACGAAACTTTTACTATAACCCGCAACTTGAAACCTGCAGCGCCCAAAAGGGGGCGTAAGCCCACTTTGGTAAAGACTGATATAAAACATAGTCTGGAAGCCATATAGGCTACTATGTTTATTTAATTCTGGGCGGACGGAGTCTCAGGCGACCGCTAGTATCGTATAAAAGTTAAATACAATACGTCATTATATTTGTACAGTTAGGGATAAAAACAATTCAACTGTTTTAAACTTTAAATTAAACTGTCGGAACTGTTTATTTGGTTCACTATGACATACGAGGTCATTCCCGGATGTATTTATTTTTAGAAAGAACCACATATTGTAGTTATATTAAGGTTAATATTATATAGTATAATACGTTTAATTATTAAGATAATAATTACCAAATACTAGTTATCGCCCGCGATTCCATTCGCACGGAATTAATAAACTTGATAAATAGAATTGTGTTTTTCCAGACTATGTTCTACATCTAAGCCAAATTTCAGCGAAATTCATGCGGTCGTTCTGGAGATACCTTCTAACAAACATCAATAAAACCATCTTAACATTCGCATTTATAATATTAGTAAGATTAAAACCTTAGTATTATAGTACAGCTCAAAAGATAATTAGGTAAATAAACTATACTAAGGTCTGTTTAAGTAACCGTTAAAGGAAGCTTGTGAACGAATATACTAAAATACAAGTAAACCAAAATCCTATTCTGATCGATCATACACTCCCAATGTAAATATTCTGACAAGTATTAATACATCGGATAGAAGTTTCTCCCCAATCGAGGGCGGTAATGCACAAGTCATTCTCAAACTTTACCCGGGTTACAAGGTCATATATGTCACCGGCAAATCGTGTACTCCGCCCGTCTCTAATTTGTCACGCCAAAACGTAGACACGACAAATATATTGACCGACAAGGATATCTGACCGTGTGGGCATAAGTTAAACTAAACTACAGATTACTAACGCCCTCCTGTCAATGTCAAAATAGGGTTACAATATCCTTTTCACACTATAGCTGTCAGGTTTTACACATTTTCAATATTACCCGCAATAACAGCGTCTCTCTTACCGGCTCAGCGGGTGTATTCGCTTCGAAGCGATTCCATAACGAACTTCAATGTATGAAACTGACGCGCGACAATCAATGACGTGACTTATCGAAAGCTATTGTCAATTCAATAAATTTTTGAAGTTCGTTATGGAATCGCTTGGGGACGAATGCAATTTGTCTAGGCCCGCTGATCACCAACGATCACGTCAATTTGTGAACATCATTTGATATTTCCAAGTCTTTATATAAACTGGCTGGTTTCACGATTTAACGGTGACACAGAACTCTCCCGGGAATCGCGGCAGTAAAATATTGTACAGCACGATATTTGGCCATAGTTTATTATAGACCATACAATATTTTATGTCACAATACGATCCTAGAGCTCGGTCGTTCCGCTTATCTACAAAAAAATGGTCAACTAGAAATAGATTGGATTGGAGCGGCCATGTAAAAGTTGTAAATCAAATTTTAGTAGAGTTTTGTTAGTATTGCAGTCAGAAATATAGGTTATACTCTCCCATATCTATTTGATTAGCGGTAAATAGCAATTTCTATCTATTTTTAGACTATTTTGTATTATCATATAATACTTGTAATTAAAAATATTTTTTTCGTGGAAGACAAAAGAAAAACCCTACTCAATTTTTTTTTTTGAGAAGGGGCCAAACGAGCAACAAATCGACTAATATTATTTGATCCGACGCCCATGGACATCCGCAACGCCAGAGGAACCGCAGATGCGTTGCCGGCCTTTAAGGAAAGTGTACGCTCTGTTCTTGAAGGCCCCTAAGTCATAACTGTTTGGAAATACCGCTGAGGACAGGGTGTTCCACAACGCGGCTGTGCGAGGTAAAATTGATAATGACTGTTGGTTTTGAGACCAAAATCGCTGTATAAAACATATCGTCATCCCTCTCATTATCTTAGACACGACAAAGATAACAATATGTTTTAAACGGAGCTTAGAAACGTCGTGGAAACCAAAGTTCACTTTTTATTAGAAAAAGAAGTGAACATAAACGAAACAAAAGCTGTAAATAATTTTAAATCTACAGAAATATTTAAATGTATTTGACACATTTCAGCAAGACCTAGAGTTATGTGTCAATTAAAACAAAACTTTAAAAACATACACAAAAGGATCTTTTTACCTTATCCGCTTGTCTTAAACAATCTATCCTTCTCATCTTTCCTTTCTGGTCCGGGTTTGATAACACGCAGACTGCCGGTCTCTTCCCCGTTATACTGAGCACGAAGTCCTCCCGGCAGTCTTGTGTTATGTCTTTCCTTAACTTGCCTAATAGACGTGACGCCCATTTTTGTTTCACTTCTGCTTTCTCGTTCTGAAATTTTATAAAAATAAATTGAAATCTGATAAGAAACAATTGACATCTGTCATGATGTTTTTAAAAAACAGCTGCCGCCCGCGCTAAATTAAAAAAAAAAACTTATTTAGTTGTGTTTTTTAAGGCTATATTATACATTTGCCTTTTAGCAAGATCCATGCAGCCGTTCTACAGATACCTTCTAACAAACATCCATCCATAAATATTCACATATTATTGAGGCTATTGAAAAGATAACAAATTTAAGTAATTATTTTTGTTTAATTATATCTTTTGTATGTAGTTTTACTAACACAGTTTTCGAAGCTACATTTATGCGTTCCCTTGTCACATTTAGGGTTTAATACGCTCAATATTTATCTGGTTACTAACTCTTTCTACCAAAATATGATTTAATACGTTGTGTTCATTCAAGTCTTCTCTTGTATGTATGTATTTTTAGACATTCTTAGTTAGAATCCTTTGGCGTGACGTGCTTTAGTTACAAAGTCCAGTGTCAGAATGAATAGTGAGGAGACATAAACGTCGACATTTTAGTAAGGCTAGTGTTGAGTCAATACACTGACACATTTTCGGATTTTCTAACAGTATGAATGGATGTAGAAGAAGTGATAGGTTTATCAGTACCGCGCAAAATTTAACAGTGGTAGACTCATTAACATCTTTGCACGAATCAGCCTGGCTCGCCCGGTGAAATACAACGACTAAACAGAAGACAGGCGTGAAGTGGAATTCTGCGTTTCGTCTGATGGGTGTGCGTCCCGAAGGCCTAGTTTAGTCCTCTTTCCCTTCTCACCCTTTTTCTTATAAGGAAAGGATGGGAAGTGAAAGTGGACTTTCCGGATGAGAGGATGCATGGAAAGGAATATTTTCTTCCTGTGCATCCTCTCCTTCGTCAATTAAAGGTAGGCAACGCATATGCAATTGCGTATGTCTATGGGCAACGGTCACTTTACTATTTCAATGATTTCAGGTGGCCGCTCGCTCGTTTGCCACCTTATGACATAAAAAGGTTACAAGCAGAGTTGTTGTCAATTCTCTTTTTTCATTCTTTCCTCATTCAATCAATCATTCGTTCTATTAATATTAAAATGTACCTGTAATTCATATTTAGTATGCCGCTCCTCCTCGAGACTCATCCGCTTCTCGTGTTTCTTGTAATATTTCCTTTTTGCCGCTTGTAAATTGAACCACGTGTACGAAAAGGACTTTACAAAAGGCATTAGTGCCTCTATGAACGGATGGAACTCGTCCTGTGAACATTCAAACAATCAAACAAGCTTTAACTAAGTATATATAAACTTTGTCGCTGGATACCAAGATGGCGCCCAAATTCTTATGACATTTAAATTTAAATTTTATCTGTTTCTTTACTTTATTAATGCATATTAAAGGCAACATTACCTTTTCTAATAATTTAAATGAATTAATTTGATTTAATGTCAAAAACAAATTACGATCGAAGGACCATTTTTTTTTAAATCTTTACATTTATGTTAATATTAATATTATTTAAGTACACAAGTAATAACTTGAAGGTAGAACCTTCGTTATCCATATCAGTAACACCAAGATTATCACATGCACTTAATGTTACTTGGTTACACAAAGGGAAAGCTTACAAAGGGCCCTTAAAACCTCCTTTCTCATCCTAACAAGACACTAACCGATCTTCATAACCCTATCTTTACTTTTTTATTTTCTTCCTAATCTAATTTAATCTATCCTACTTCGGATCCTGCCTAATCTATATCCATTCAGTAAAGTATTAATTCTCTAATCATGATTTTTATTAAGTTACAGGTTATTTTTACGCCTGATGATATACTGGTCTTTAAATTTTCTTTTAAAATTATCCAATATATATCTCTTCATATTAAATTTTGAAGTTTAGTTTTAGTTCCTGAGCCACATAAAAAATGAGGAAAGTAAAAAAAAAGTGTATATAAATGTGGTTAAAACCCCGTTATGTTAAGTCACTTTTTTAATATAACGGTTACATTTTATCATTCATTACCATAATATTCAAAGAACAATGAGTAATGCATTGGTTTTTACGTGAATTGATTCTTGTAGATATAAGCAGGAAGGCGGACCTTTAGAAAACTCTGTCATACTTTTAGCAAACAATACACACAACATTTGAAGCCTTATTAACCTTACAAACAATTAATAAAGCTCTCCTTTAAAGATAACTCTGTCCTGCCTTCCACAATAGCCTTGAAACTGTCAAGTTATTTTAAAACCTCAAGTTGTTCTCCAAAAATACTTAACAGTTCTTTTGGCGTTCAATTTGTCAATGTTGACATACTGCCATCATGTAATTAGCTCACTATACGCCCTCTCTGAGGAGTTCGGAGCCTACCCTCTGTGTGGGTTGATTTAACATATCTTTGAATTTCTTCACAGATTCAACACGTTGCATCGCGATGTTATCCTTCACCGTAAGACTGATATATGTTAATTGAAAAAGACATGAATACATGGAGGGATTCGAATCCATGGTCTGCAGATTACAAATCAAGTATTTAACCCTTGAGCCAGCTCAGTCCGTAGATATGGTAAATTTAAAAAGATGAAAACCGCAAACACGCGCTGAGCTCTTATACCTTTCACCTTAAATCTCTCATTGACATGTGTCATGTTCGTAAATCGTATGCAATCGTGTATTCAATGCGTACGCGACGAACAAGTACTGTATTGTTATGCCGACTGAATCATAACGTAATGTATTCTAGCACATTTCTGATTTATTGCGGGCCCCTACTGCGAGGTGGAATCTGCAATTGTTTTTGTTTAGCACAACTGACCTCTTATATTCCAATAACTGACCTATAAGTGTTACATGAACTAAATTAAGAATTCTTAACAATTTCTTACGTTTAAGAGTAGATAAATATTAGATAACTATCTGTCGCCCGCGAAACCGTCTTAAAAAAACTTAATGATTAGCCTATGTATTCTTCCAGAGTATGCTCTACATCCATGCCAAATATCATTAAAGTCCGTTAAGTTGTTCCGGAGATACCTTCTATACATCCATCCATTTCAACAATTGCATTTATAATATTAGTAAGATATGTTTAACTATAAGTTGATAAGATGTTAAAATGTTAGTCGCAACACAAGGTAACCTAGTTTAGGAGTCAAGGCTATATCTTACTAATATTATAATTGCGAATGTTTTAATAGATCTCGATGAAATTTTGTATACATGTAGAACAGACTGGTACAACACATAGACTATGATCCGCGAAATGTAGGATACGTTTGATTAACATATTAAAGGTCATATGTTAATAATTAGATAGTGTATTTCATTTTTAAGGAATGTTCCATATTAATAGTGAAACTAGCGACCGCCAGCGACTCCTTCTGGGCGTAACTAAAAAAAAGTAATTATTGGCCTAAGTGTTATTCAATATGTTCTATGTATGTCAAATTTCATCGAGATGCATTCAGCCGTTCTGTAGATACCTTCAAACAAACATCCGTCCATCTAAACATTCACATTTATAATATAAGTAAGATTGATTCGCAATTGATATTACTTGAGCAATAGAGAAATATAGTCTGTCGTGTTATTATGGCCGGCGGCACGCGGTTACTGAAGCAATACTAATTAGTTCCCGGAGCCACCTCGCCTCCAGGATACGGACTTTCTCACGGCACGATTAACTCAAACACGAATACTATTATCTACATTTTGATGGACTACTGCAGAATAAAAGCGCATCGTTCATAAATAGCAATACTTTACAAACACCTGATGAAATGAGATTAATTTTTGTCATTCCAGGGATTAGAGAATAGAAAGATTATAAAAATTAGCTATCGTCCACGACTCCGTCCGCACGGAATTAAAAAAAAAAACTTACCAAATAACCTATGTGTTCTTTCAGATTATGTTCCATTGAGCTGTTCCAGATACCTTTAAACAAACATCCATCCATCTAAACAATCGCATTAAATATATTAGTAAGACCATTAGACCATAGACCATTGTCTAATCATTGAAGCTATAGAAGACCACAACATAGAAGACTTGACTATACGCGAAAAATTAACAAAAGACCGTATAAAATTGTTGTAAATTTTCATTCTAATATTTGTATTTATTATACGAAAAGCACACAAGAAACAAAACGTGGTTCTAAAACAAAACATTAGTACAACAAACTGATATACAACATCCAAGGTTCACAGATGTTTCGTGTCTAAACATAAAAGTGATCTGAATGAAAATTCCACAATCTATACACGTAAATGATTAGCGAATCTAACAGTTTCCTCCAAATGTAAACAAAGAACCAGTCATAACATTGTAGTTGGCGGGATTCGCAGACGCGGGTGACTCCTGCCAAAGTTGCGAGGGAACCACCTGGTAGCCACAGGGCTTGCCAAAGTTTCCAGGGTGCCCACTTGGCAGGACCTCCGCACACGTGGTGATTCCTGGCAGATACGACAACCGCTCATATTAATGAATAAACGTATTCACTGAGTAAGTCTATGCAAATTATCATGGCGTGTAAATGTAATCATTAACTACGTATAACGAAATTCTAAACCTTAATTCTAAGTTCCCATTTTTGCGACATTTTAAACAAAATACTTAGAGCATTGTACATTTAATTATATATATATAACATGAGTACATATATATAACATATATCAATGAGTTGAAAGCTTTGATTAAAAACTCATATTACCCATGCATAAAGATAACTTATGTTTACATAGATGTAATTTTTGTACCCGATTTACAGAAATTCGAGATTGTGTGGCAACTTTAAAATGATCTTAATTTCGATGCCACTTTGTATATCAAAAAGAGATGACTTTAAAGGTATGATACGATATCTATAAGGTGCAAATATTTGGCGTAAATAAGAATAAGAAAGGCTGTTGTTAGATTGTTGGCAAATACGCTGAGTCGTCGCAATCTACTAGGAGATTGCGATATCACTGACTATTGGAATATTTTCACTTTGATTACCTCCTTTATGTTGACTTATTTTATCATATACTAATACCAGCTGTGACCCGCGACTCCGTCCGCGCGGTATTAAAAACTATTTTAATGAGGAGCCTATGTGTTCTTCTAGACTATGTTCAACATATATGTCAAATTTCAGAGAGATACATTCAGCCGTTTGGGAGATACCTTCTAACAAACATCTATCCATCCATCTATACATTCGCATTTATAATAGTAGTAAGATAGAAAGAAAAGATGTGATTTTCTGTACTGGATAAAAACATAAACTAAATTTTCCCTACAGTTTTTATCCTAGATCCTTACTTTCTTCGAAATCAGTTTACCGAACATCCGGTCCAAAAACTTTTCTTCAAAGAAAAAATAACTATCCTGAAATATGCATCGTACGCAAATGTTTATATTCTGTTCGTTTAAAACACTAGTTTTATTAAATCAAATGCCAAAAGAACCGGTGATACTTTGTTTACAAACAGAACTGTATCGGAACTAAATGTTCTCTATCGAATCAAATTATTAGGATAACATCCAAGAAAACATTGCCAAAGCGCTGGAGAGCGTTCACCCTGAAAATTTTTTGGCGGCAAATCCAGTCGCGTAAATGATTCCTTCATTATTACACATTTTTAGCGTCTTTATAACGTCGGTCGAATTTATTTTATAGATATTGGCGCGGGTTCATCGGGGATGCCCGTCGGCCGTGGCATCCGCTGGCGGATCTGACTGGGTTGCCGCGTCACGCAGGAGTACGGCCAAAAACAAGGTGCGCGCGGAAAATCGCCATTAAAAAAAATTGACGTACGCCGCCATCTTGCCACGCGCCGTTTTGGCGCGCTATCGCCGGAGCTCTGGCCGCGTACGTTTAGCGGACAATGCACGTAATTCCACAATAAATCCCATCGTTGTAAACTGAATGCGAAACGAAAACCGCATGGATTAAATGCATTTAGGTATAAAATATGCGCGCGCGCAATCGGAATTTTAATTCCAAAACAATTTTACAAAGTTGTTTGCGCTCAAAAGGTATGAATACATCCCGTGTTCCGTTATAAATAGAAGTGAAATTTACTACTAAAAATGCATAGAGATATTTAAACAACATTGGACATCGACTAAGCCCAAATTGGACCTGAAAATGTTTTCCACTTTAGCTTTTAGAAAATACCAAAATACTATAACATTTTGGTATTACATTCAGTTTGATGTATCGCTTTAACACGTACATAGGCGTACATAAAACCTACATCTAAAAGCTTA